AAGAGAAAATACATGTTGAGACATTACTGAAACCAATTAAATCAACTTGTAACAAAACAGAGTTTAGCATAATTTTTTTATGGATGGACAAATTTCTAAAGAAGACCTTTAATTAATTTTAGCGCCACTAGTGAGGGGATTCTACATTTTAAAAGTTGTTGATGCTTCAAATATAATAAAATAAATAAGCATTACATAGTTGATAAAATGAAATGAGTTCTTAAAGAAGTAGAAGAAGAAAAAATTATGCAAATTAGAACAAATAATGCTCCATTGTGGATAGGTGTTGGAATGATACTTGAAGTTTCATTTTCTAATGTTTTTTAGACACCTTGTGTTATGCACATATCAAATCTTGCTTTGAGGAACATGTGTAGAAAAAAATAAATACCAAAAGAAATAATTTCATTTATGGTAAATGTAGTTGGATTGAAGTTGTTGATGATATTTCTTTGGAAACTTTATAATCAACTATTCCACAAGATTTTTCACATTTAAAATTGTTTGTTGTTACATATACATGTTTTGCATCTCATATAATGATTATGATTATATTTAAATTTTTGAAACATTCTTTGCAAACTATGCTTATATAAATTCTTATAGAGAAGATAATGCAGGTAAAACTCAAACTATGAAAGACTTTATTTTAAATGATGTATGATGAGATAAAATTGCATGTAGTTTAGTTATTGTTGAGTCTATCTATAACATGCTTAAAGTTTGTGATACAAATAGTCTCACACTTCATTTGATTTGTGAGATGCGAGATACTATGATATAAAAAGAGAAGGAAGTCATATATACGCCATAAAAATAGAGGAAAATAATACATCAACATTTATGAAATTGTTTATGATATACTAATTTATAGAAGAACTAAAAGTTACACTCCTCTCCATTGCATGATTCACTCTTTGATTTTTATGTTAAATTATCCAATAAATATTCATTTTTTTGTAAGTGATTTATAAAAATAGTTATAAAGTTATTGTTTTTTATAATATACCTTTTTTCTTAATTTTTAATTATACGTATTATAGTGAAGAGTGAAATCAATAAAAATAGAATCTCACTACATGAGGATGAACAAATTTATAGGGAGAGTAATAAGTATTTGAAAAAACATTTTATAACTAATGATAGAAGAAATGTTGTACTTGAATATGTTCTCTTCTTATCAAAATTAAATAGTTTTGGTTCTTTTGACTCAATAGAATATATCTAGATCCTAAATCTTGGTTTGTGATGCACCATTTCATTGCTCCTCTCTTTTGAAAGATATCATCAAAGCACCTATTCATTCATTCACTCATTAAAAAATATGTTGAATCCTAAAAGAATTAAAGAACTTGTTTATGTGTATAATATAACTATGCAAATTCTAATATATAGAATATTAGTGGAGATGTATATAATGACTTTAACAATGTTAGAGACCTTAAAATGACAACATTGTCTCCTGGTCAAACATGAAAGTTGTCTTATTTACATATGATACTCAAGGTGGGGATGAAATTGATATTATTCTTAAAAATCAATAAGTAATTATTTATAATTTTATTTCATATTTGAATTTTTAGTTTATATATATATATATATATATTGAATTTAATATAATTTCTACGTTCAATTTAATTAATAATCATATATAATAATATTTTTTTAAGAATTAGATATATATACACATGTATACATATCCTATATTCTTTTTTTTTCTTAATATAAGACAAATGGACGTATTATATTTGTGTATCATAGTTTAAATTTTTTATCCATTATTTCTAGAAAACTCATAATTCCTTGACGCAATGCTTAACTTTGATAAGTGAATTTGAGAGTAGAAAATGAGAGAAAAATAATAAAAAGTAAGATTTTTTTTTCTTGTATAAAGGAAAAGATAACAAAAAATAAAGAAAAATGAAAGAAAAGATTTTAGTTTATAAGATTGATTTGACTGAATGAAAAAAATAAAACAATAGAATAAATTAATAAATTACAAAAATATCTCTAATATAATTTTAATAAAAATGAAAATAAAATAAAATTAATATATGATTTAATATAAAATAATTATTTTATAAAAATTGAAATAGTATTAAAAGTTATTTCAAAAATTAATTTTAAACTATGTAAATAATAGAAAATAGACCATAAATAAAAAAAATTCACATACCAAATAAATATATATATATATATATATATTCAAAATAAAAATAGAAACTACATATCAAATTGACAAATATAGAAAATAAATAAAAGTTTATTAGTTCAGCAATTTATATGATCAATATTTAAATGGGGGTAATAATGTCATTTTTACGTGGAGACCGAATCTCTAACATTGTTCTTCTCCTATTCTAGGGTAAAGAATTTATTGTGAACCTCACATATATACCTACCTACAAATCTTCTTAAATATATGGACTTAGAAACAATGAAAACAAACAAGGACTTAGGAACAAGTGTCAATATGATGATCTCACATAAACAATTTTGGATGCCTTTACAAGCATCCCACTAAGCTTTAAACACATAGACATCCAAAGGATTGTATGCTCTCATAAGAAAGGAATGGAAGAAGGTGTCTTCTTATTTTCGAAGGAAACAACTTCACAGTTTCCTCATAATGTGGTCTCCATAATTGGTTGTGGCTACCCTTCAACATTGGTTGAGCTTCCTTCAAAGCCAACTCCCCCATGCAAGAACCATCTTTTGCATCATATTTCTATTATATTTTCTACATAAATAAAATTAGTCTAGGTTTCTATATTTGTTACATGAGATCATTTCTTCAAATTAATCTATGTATATGTTAATTTGTAATTATGAAGAATTCAACTCCCTAAAAATTCTTAAAAACATATAACAAAACATTATAACCCAATAAACATCACTTAATAACTATTGTTATGGATATAATAATAATAATAAAAAAAAAAACTAAAACTTGTATATACTCTATATGCATGGATCTTCTTGGTAACTTAGTACGATTGCTTCCTAGTTTATAACTTTCATATAATTTATTATTTTGATCCCATACTTAATGATTATTTAATATATTTACTTATATATTTATAATTTTATTTTCTCATTCTTTACTCAATTTTTATCCATTTATTATTATTTATTATTTATTAATAATATATTAATTAGTCCCCAAAATCAATAATCAAGATCTATTATTAAGAGAAATGAATTTTCTAAATAAAGAAACTCATCCAAACAACTTTAACCAAATTTAAATTAATATGCTTTCAATATTTCAATTAAAACTGTTAATTTGGATTTATTTTATGGAATAATAAATTTGACATTTTCTTTCTTTCTTCAATTTTGGTGAGTTTGGACATGTTTAGACATTTTTTTTTTCAAAATACTTACAAGAAAAAAAATTGTAAAAAATAAAATTAACTTCATTAAAAATTTATTTTAAAATTATATAAACTATTTTTAATTTATAATTTTTTTCTATAAAGTAATTTTGTAAAAGTTTGTCTAACTATATATCTCATTAACCATGGTTAAGCTAAAGGATATAGTTAGTTGAGGGGCAAACCTTTCCAATTCATTATGTCACTCTCGCCAGAATAATTATTTAAATTTTCCGCAAAGTTGCTTTCAACTCTTTAAAAAGTCAGATAGATAACCGCGTAATATTTGTGGAGAAAGAACCGTGTTTATGTGGAGAATCCAAGATGAAAACTATATTTATAAATGTTAATTTCCTATATTAGGGTTTGCACCCACTAAGAGTGAACTTAGTTAGGGTGTAAAAAGTTTTTATACAGTTATTTAATCAAATTCATATATATGGTACGTTTTTTTTATTATTTATTGTTTATTATATTCATATAAATAAATTTTTAATTAATTGACGGAATAAATTTTTTATATTAATAAATGGAAATATAGGTTTTCATCAAGTTTTTATATTATTAATTTTTAAAAAATATATTTTTTATATAAATAATTTCATTTTTACATTTTTTTATTTTATTACATTTTCTCTCTTTTTTAATAAATAATATCATAATAAATTTTTTATAATAGTATAATTAATTTTATTTGATCAATAGTGACACTAAAACCCCTTTTACATAACCGTATAAATTATACAAATTAAATTCCTTGAAAACCGTTTAATTTAGGACCATCTTTATAGTTTAATCCTCATATTTGAATGTATGGTTTTATTTTTAAAAGACATCTCAATAAATTAAAATATGAGGATTGATCTTAACACATAAATAATATGGAACTCATGAGTGTATCATAACATTAAATCGTGGAATTCAACAGAGTATATTAGAAGTACAATATTTGAGAGTGAACTCCGTTTAATTTATGTTTGTTACAAATGTTTTTTTATTATTGATATTACATTTAAGGAATGGAAATTGTTGTCATCATTTATGTGTTAACACTTGTCAAAAAACATCTTATAATAATATTTTATTAATCTTCAAAACTTAAAATATTCCCTTTCGTTTTTGGTTTATTTTATATATGCATTCTACATTTTATGACTTTTACTTTTTTTTGCTACTATGTTTACCATTTTATACTTGTCATTTGTGTCTTCCTTCAAGTATTTTCTCCTTTTTGATGTTTTGCCTTCTTTTAGAACTAGTATCGTCTTCATCCAAGATACCTCGTTGTTACTCTTACTCTTTGTTATTTGAACAATGTTCTCTTCATTTTCAACTAATTCCTCTTAACGCAAGGCTCTCCTCACCTCTCATGAAATGCGTTCAATATGAGATAATTCCTCTTATTTTGAGAGTACAAAAAATGTTTTGTCTTCTAATGAGGTTGAGCAAAGAAGGGTCTTTTTACATGGTGGACCATGAGTCCACTAATGCATTTGAATTAAATTTGTTGTTGCATAACAATATAGTAGGAAAAATGAATATGGGGGGACATTTTTCCTCATCTTTTGATGCTGAAATACTTAAAATTATTGGTCCCTATGATGCCTCGCCTTTGCTAAGGTAATGGGAGCTCGGATTATGGGCATACTCCATCATTGGAAAGAATTTATAAAGGAGGGTCATGGTAAGTAGATTGCCAATATAAAAAAAGTTGGAGAAAACTATGGTTGAACTAGTAAACAAGCATTTGTGCTTCAAGGTCAGCTAGCCAAGCACACCAATTCCTTTTTTAGCAATGCTAATCAAAACAACGAGCTCACAAACTGACTTATAAATATTAAAAGAGCCTTTAAAAGAGGTCAAAGATCATAAAATGTGTCAACTTAAGAAGATTGATCTGAAAAAGATGGTAGTTGAGTTGCAGAGCAAGAATAAGGATATGAAGCATTGGATGATCGAGTTAAGGGATCATAAGCAAGAAGCCATGGAAAATTTGGAGGAGGATTTGCATGTGGTCAAGACCTAGTTGTTGACTGTGTACGAGGAGGATTTCCAAATGTGCTTGCTCAGGGGTGAACATTATTGAGTTTTGTTGAATAAAATTAAATATTAGTTTTAGAGTTTATTGGAATAAAAAGATAATAAGAAGATAATTAGGAGTTTGTTGGAACATTTTGATATTAATGATATCTTGGGTAGTTATTATTTGATTTTGTGAAGATCTTGAGACCAGTGGCAGATCTTGACCATTGATTCTAGGGGGTCAAATAATATATTATTAAAAAATAATAAATAAATATAAAAGGGTAAAAGAAGATGAAAGGGTGAGAGGATAAAATTGTAAATGTATAATAAGTAAATATATAAAATGATCATTAAGTTTAGGGGAGCAAAATCATAAATTATATGAGAGTGACAAAACTGAGGAGAAACTGAGAGGATAAAATTATAAATATACAAGTAAATATATTAAAGTTTAGGGCTCACGGCCCCCCTCAGTTCCAAGAAAATTTGTCACTGCTTGGGTAATACAACATTGTATTCTTCATTTGAGGTATGACAAAAAATCAATACTATACAGTTACAGTATCTGAGAGAAATTCTTTGTTATCAAATTGGTATCAGAGCTAGGTTTTTTAGAAGAACTAAGGTTCTTCAGAAGAGTGAGAGTTAAGGTTTAAGTGTCAGGAAAACAATATGAATGACTACTCCAGCAAGTGTTGCTGCAATTGTGCCTCGACTGATGAAGGACGTCAACTATGATAAATGGAGTGCCCAGATGAAGGTTCACCTCAAAGTCCAAGGTGTTTGGAAGATGGTGGAGGAAAGTTTTGAACAACCAGAGACCATGGAAGAATTGAAGATCAATGAACCCAAGGAGTTAGAGAAGAAATGTGAGAAAGACAGTGCAACTTTGTTTTTGCTGTTTCGAGTTGTGAAGATTCTGACTTTGAGAAGATTGTAGGAGCTACATTGGCATCTAATGCATGGGACGAGTTGAAGAAGGAGCACAAAAAAGATGATAGAGTCACACGGATTCAGCATCAAACACTACCAAGTGAGATGGAAAGCATGAAGATGAAGGGGTCAGAAAAAACTTTTGAATATGTCCTGCGTGTTAAAAAGGTGGCAAAAAACAGCTTAATCAGAATATAGAGGCATTTTCCACATAACAGATTATTGAAAATATTTTGAGGCCATTAGCAAAATCCTTTAATAGTGTGGTGTGTGCGATAGAACAAGCGAATGACTTGTCCGAGCTTTCAATAAAAGAATTGATAGGATGTCTTGAAGCCTATGAACACCGAATAAAGAAAGATAAGGAGAACGAGGAAACAAGTATGAAACTGCTCCAGACCGAGGAGAAGGCGATTTATTCTCAGAATAATAGAGGAAGAGGACGTAGTGGTCGGTCTCTAGGTGAATGATTTGACCGAGGAGGTTGAGGCAGATTTGATGGTCGAGGTAACGAGAAGAATGAAAAGGAGTTCAACAAAACTGGCGAGGTAGAGGATGTGGTCAGAGAAGAGGTTGATCGACGAACCACTCAAACATCGAGTGCTTCAAGTGTGGCAAGTATGACCACTATGCGAAAGATTGCTACTCAGACAAGTGTTACAATTATGATAAGATTGGACACTTTGCGAAAGAATGTCAAAAGGTGGGTGTGACCTATCTCACAGAGGAGACGGAAGTTGAAGAAACAATATTGTTGATGGCTTATCTCAACATGGAAAACAACAGTGATGGAGTTCGGGAAGATACCGATCACAAGTCAGTATGGCATTTGGATACGGGTGCAAGTAATGACATGTGTGAGGACAAACACATATTTAGCAAATTGGAGAAATTTAAGGGTGATCATGTGTCTTTTGGAGATGGCTCAGATGTTTTGGTAAAAGGCTGAGGTACCATCTGTTTCTTATAGAATAATGACCTAGTCGGGTTAATCGAAGATGTGTTATATGTTTCAGATCTTATGAGTAAGCTTTTGAGTATGGGATAGTTGATGGAGAGAGGATACTCGATTATCAGGAAAGACCGAATACTAGAATGGAAAGACAAGCTCAAAAGGTTGATTGTCCGAATAGAGATGGAAAACAATAGAATGTACAAGTTGCAGCTGAGAAGCATTCGGGAAAGGAGTCTGAAATTAAATGTAAAGGACATGTTGAAGAAGAATTATCAATATAGTCACATGCATTTTTGTGTTCTAACTGAATTGATTCATGATGATGATCCGAATGTCTAAGCTGATGAAATGAGAGAGTGAAATTGGGGAGTGTCGTTATCGTCAAAAGAGGCGGTCGGAGCGACGCGATGGTTTTGAAAGACTCACGTTTTTAAAAGAAGGTGTTCAACAACTTTAGGTAGTCCGATAATCAGGTTGGACCTAAAGGCGAGGTTTTCGAAAAAGGTTCTATAGAGTCGTCACCGATGTTTTTACCATAAACATCCAAAAAGGAAGAAAAAGACGTTGGTTTTAGAAAACCAACTTTGGCCATTACAACCAGAATTGGGTAAGGGAGTTAGTTACGTGTGGAGAAGGTGTTAGCACTCCACAACGCCCCTTTCGGGTTCTCTATGATGGACTAGTTTATAAAATAAAGACTAAAAAACTATGTTTTTACCCTATTTATTTATCTACTTGCAGAATGTAAATGTCTACATAGTCCTAATATCTAATGCATACAAGGAAAACGATAAAGGAAAGTAGTAAAAGAGAGAGAATAACGAAAAGAACCTCCGAAACAAGCTTTTTTATTAACTTTTCAAAACTTGAGGAAGCTTTTTGGCTGTCCCCACACTCTACAAGCACGCTCCTCTCCCACAATAAAATAAACTACCCTTCTACCAAGTGTTGGATGTCTCAAAAGGAGACCTCCTTAACTGATTTATACTTTAAACGGAAATCGGAAGGCTCTCGAACTCTGGAAAGTGCTCAGAGTTATCCTGAAGTTTTAAGAGAGCTTCTGGGATGAGAGAAGGGGTGAAAAACTATGTGAATTGTGTGGGGAAGGGGGGAGGCTCCTATTTATACAAATTCACTCCAAACAGGCCGGGATGGTCGTCTGGGCTTCTGACAGGCGAGACAGCCGTTTGGGAAAACAAGACGGTCGTCTCGTCTCTAAGAGAAGGCGAGACAGCCGTTTGGGAAAATGAGATGGCCGTTTGAAAAAATGAGACGGTCGTCTCAACCTTTAGGATGGTGAGACGGTTGTCTGGCCAAACAAGACGGTCGTCTCAACCTTCAGGGAAGGCGAGACAACCGTCTAGCCAAACGGGACGTTCGTCTCGGGCCTCCTGACAGATTTTCCTATTTTCCCTATTTTTTTCTATACAGAAAGTCCTCCTATCCTTACATGGAGCCTAGTGAGCATGCTTAGGGGCCTAAAGAAGCCTTGTCTATCTTCAAACGAAGGTTTTCTGGTCTTTATTGCGAGGTCGGGCAAGATTTAAGGTCTACAGGGAGAATCAGATGAAAATAGAGGAGGTCGAGTTACTGCACCACCAGTTGTTGTCAGCTCAGAAGGAGGTCGAGCTACTACACCACCAATAGTAGTCGGTTCAAAAATCGAGAAGGAAGAAATAATCATGAAGTTGAAGAAAAACATTAAGAGCATAGTGCTCGAATTTCTGAGCATGGAAGGGAAAGTTTGTGAAGGTCTGAGGCTCAAAGTATCGAGCATAGAGGGGAGAGTTTGTGAAGGAGTGGACAAAATTATCCGAGTTGTTGTGGATAAGAAGGAATGAGTTGTTATTGAAGAGAAAATGAGTTGTTGTGGACAAGAAGGTTTGAGTTGTAGTTGAAGAGAAGAACCGAACTCTTATGGATGAGAAGATCCGAGAACATATTGATATGTTAGTGATGAACAAGTTACGGAGCTATGACAAGTTGTTGATATGAAGTAGGTGGATGTGAAGCTGACATTTCTGAATGGTGTGCTCAAAGATGTATATGTTAAGCAACTACTTGGATATGTGAAGAAAGGTAAGGAGGAGTCAAAAATATTTGTGTCTCAAGAAATGCATGCAAAGGAGATATTGAGTAAATTTAAGATGACCGATTGCAATTTAGTATATATATATATATACTACATCAATTTTAATTCAAACAATTGATGGAATTATCAATAATAAAAAAAATATTAAATAATTTTAAAAAAATAAATACATTTCATCAATTTGAATTCTAAATATAGTTTTATTTTTGTGTATATATTATATTAAATTTTATAAATGTAATTTTGAATGGGTCTATATGTAAATTTGAAGTGGTAACGAAGAATATATAAGTCCCATATAAGAGCATGTTGACCTTAAAATTCAAAGTCTGGAAGGAAGGAAGTTACAGAGCAATTTTGGAAAACATTTTCCGTTGTCCTGTTCAATTCTCTGCTTCCCTTGAATTGACACTTGCCGTTCAAGAATCCAATCTCCGTTTCCACCTTGCAGTCACAAGTTGGTCCTATGTATGTTACGTGGTTTTAAAATGGATTCCTTCTAAAATTATAAATAAAATTCATCGTATAGAACCCTCTAGAATCCAAAAATGCTTATTCCACCATAACTTTGTTTAGCTCAATGAGCTTTTATTTTATACATTATTCAATGGATTCTTCTTTCTGTTAACAATGGCAATATATCCATTTTTAATTGTTTTTTAATGTAATTATGTAAATTAGTATGACGCATTATTGAAATTTTAAATACTAAAAATAAATATAAGTTTTCCATTATTGAAATGTGTACTATTGCTATATTTTTTAACCGATATCCAAGTTAAGCTGTTGAAAAGACAATAAAAATTTTGAAAAACAAAGGCAATTAAGCAAAGACCTCTTCAATATAATTTTATCATAATTTGCGAATATTCACAAAGACTGATAATAAGCGTAATAGGTTCTTGAAGTTCACCATTAAAAATGCCTAATAATATAAGGATGTATGTTTTAAGATATTCATCAACATTATTAGTATTAAAAAAACAATTAAGGAAATAAATAGAATGATTACTAATTATAAGAGAGGAAACAATAAAATGAATTTTAAATATTATTTTTAACTGACAAATAGTATTAAAAAATATTAAGGCCATAATGACGCGTGTTTTCTTCCTCTTCTCGCATCAACTTTGTCTTCAAGTGTGTAGTCAAAACTGAATGATTGACCAAATCAAACTCAAATTCCAACCCCAATAGAAGAATCTTGGGGTCCAGTCCAGTGCCTATATATTTTCTCATTCTTTTGCATCTTTCTTCTTAATTCTACTCTCATATTGCATTGCATGAAACTGAGCCATAAAAAGCAAGTCCATGTACGAAAAATTTGCCAACAAATGATTGATTTTACTAATTCAAGCAAAATGAGTTTCCCGTCCACCATTCCTCTGGCACTTCCAACAATTTGGCTCTCCTATTTACTCATTTCCATTGTTTCCATTAATTATTACCATGTTGAGGCTACGGATGGAGACAACAAAGTCATATCAATTGGTGCAATAATTGATGTTAACTCCCGCATTGGCAAAGAACAGCGTGTAGCCATGGACCTTGCAGCTCAAATTTACAATACCACTTCTAACACCTACAAGCTGGCTCTTCATTTTCGGCAACCCTCCAAAGATCCCTTCAGACCCACTTCCCTTGGTTAGTAATTTCAATTATTTGTAACATCAAATTTTGTCATGCTTTTTTTATCTGGACCAAACTTAGATATAAACTCTTGAATGTTCTTCTGAAGTTTGAATCAAAATTTCATCTCAATAATTCATGTATTATTACACTGAAGGTTACATAAGCGTGTGAGGTGAAACTCTAATGCTGATCAGAAAGCTACATCTAAGTTTTATGTTATCCTTTTGGCTTAACCTTTCCAAGTGTATAAAGTATATTGAACGTGAACCTATTTCTTGCAGCTAGAAGGATGATTATAACGCAGAAGATGCAAGTGATTATAGGGATGCACACATGGACAGAAGCAGCTGCAGTGGCTGAATTAGGACGCAAAACTCAAGTTCCTGTCATATCCTTTGCAGGTCCTACCGTTACCCCACCATTGATGTCAATTCGTTGGCCTTCCTTGGTAAGAATGGCCAACGATGGGACTGCATATGCAAAATGTGTTGCAGATATGGTACATGCGTATAGTTGGCAGAGAGTAGTAGTCATTCATGAGGATGGAGATTATGAGATGCTAGCTCTGCTATCTGAGACCCTCCAAGATGTTGGCTCACTGATCGAGTACCGCTTAGCTCTTCCATCTCCTTCTTATCTTTCTAATCCTGGAGAGTTCATTCGCGAAGAGCTGTTCAAGGTGATTGAAAATACACAATCCCGAGTGTTCATTGTTCTGCAATCATCAATAGAAATGGTGATTCATTTGTTCAGAGAAGCTTCACAAATGGGACTAGTGGATGGAGAATCAGCTTGGATAATCCCAGAGAGCATAACTAATTTGCTTGATTCTGTCAACAAGTCTGCTATTTCCTACATGGAAGGAGCTTTAGGAATCAAGACCTACTACTCTGAACATAGCAGTGAATATCAAAATTTGGAGGCTCGGTTCAGGAAATCTTTTCGGGCCAAGTATGCTGAGGAGGATAACAGCAACCCGGGATTTTATGCTCTGCAAGCATTTGATAGCATTAAAATTGTTGCACAAGCAATAGATAGGATGGCCAGTAGCAGAAAAACTTTGCTAGGAGAAATACTTTCTAGCAATTTCGTTGGCTTCAGTGGAGAAATTCGATTTAAAGCAGCGAAGCTGGTGCAGAATTCTATCTTTAGGATCGTAAATGTACATAGGAAGGGTTACATAGAGTTAGACTTTTGGACTCCAGAAGATGGGTTCATGAGTAGCCTTCCTACAGAACAAGGTTCAAATAGTGTTTCTAGAAGTGGTGTTGTAATATGGCCAGGGAAGCTCAACAGAACTCCAAAGGGCTGGAATCTGCCTACTAAACAAAAAAAAATGAGAATAGCGATTCCTGGAAGAACCTCTTTTTCCAAGTTTGTCAAGGTTGACAAGCTTACAAATTCATATAAATACACTGGATTCTGCATTGAACTTTTTGAGAAGGTGTTACCCCTTTTGGGGTATGACCTGCCATATGACTTTTATCCCGTCAATGGAACCTATCCCGATCTGGTTCAACTTGTCCATAACAAGGTAAAGCCTTATTACTCATTCTACTCTACCCCATTCAAATTGTTAAATAACTTCTATTTTGCGCACATCACACACCTATAGAACAAGTTACTTTACAATCAACAAAAACAACTCCTTTTTCTTGCTAGGCTAACCTAATACTTAAATGTTTCTCTTGTGGTTTAATAATGATGAAATTGAAGACGTATGAGGCTGTTGTTGGAGACGTGACCATATTAGAAGAGAGACTGGAATATGTAGATTTTACTATTCCATATGCAGAATCAGGGTTGTCAATGATAGTTACGGAAAAGTCCGAAGATTCGACATGGATGTTCATGAAGCCCTTCACCTGGCAGATGTGGGTAGCAACTGGTGCCGTGTTGATGTACACAATGATAGTTGTGTGGTGCCTGGAGCGGAAACCCAATCCTGAGTTTCATGGCAATTGGAAACGCCAGATCAGCACTGCACTTATGTTTACCTTCTCCTCTCTATTCTTCGCTCATAGTGAGTATCATCCTTATTCTTCAATTAAAAACAACGATGAATTTGGTTATGGAAAGAAATATTGTTTTGTATTAAACTGAATTGATGTCAATGGTTTCATGTTGCAGGGGAGAAACTTCATAGTGACTTAACTCGTGTGGTGATGGTATCATGGCTGTTTCTAGTTTTGATTCTTAACTCAAGCTACACTGCTAGTCTTTCTTCCATGCTCACAGTTCAACGACTGCGACCAAATGTGACTGACATTGAGTATCTGAAGAAGAACAACATGAAAATTGGTTGTGACGGGGACTCATTTGTTAGGACATACCTAGAGAAAATCCAACGATTCAAGCCAGAGAACATTGTCAAGATTAATAATGAATACAGTTACGAAGATGCTTTCAAAAACAACTCAATAGCAGCTGCTTTTCTCGAACTCCCCTATGAAAAAGTATATATCAGCAAATACTGCACGGGATACTCTGCCTTTGTACCTACCGCCAAATTCGGAGGACTGGGATTTGTAAGTCACAGCAGCATTTCTTCTAATAACTACGATATTTGTTAACTAACTATTTTCTGTAAATAGAATAGAATAGAATACTTCCTTAAGCTCTGGATACAAAGAAAAACTCTTGTAGCTTTCACGAAAGTGGTCAATATGTTTCCCCCAATTCTTTAACAATCTCATGAATCATGATGCAGGTGTTTCAGAAAGGCTCTCCAGTGGCCAAAGACTTTTCCAGAGCTATACTGCATCTCTTAGAGCAGGGAGAATTGGGGAAGTTAGAAGAGAAATGGTTGAACAATGGAGGTGAGTGCTCAAAAAAGTCGACCTCCGAGAGTACGGAAAGGTTGAGGCTTGAAAGTTTCTGGGTTCTGTACGTAATTTCTGGTGCCACTTCTACTATTTGTTTTTTAATTTACACCATCGAGTCGCGGAAATCTAGTCGAACATCCCAAGATGACGCCGAACAGGAAGACAACATCAGAGGTGAAAGCCGATGGAAAATGGTACTTGTAAAAGCTAAGAAGATGTACAGCAGAAAGCATGCACCACTTACAGACGAGCATCAGCAGGCAATGGCTCCACAATTACCAGACATCATAACTGTGTCTTCCCCACCCACCGTGCACAACTCTTGATCATCTATCACATATTACATAAATAACCAACAAGAAGATTTAGGAAGGTAACAGTTAGGGTACAAGGAGAAGTTTGTTGAGATATAGTTAAGAGTAGTTATTTGAGATATTAGCTAGATATAAATAAGAAAAAGAAGGGAGGAAAGGCGCTGTACATTTTGTAGATTGAAGGGAAGAAAAAAAAAACGGATGATATTTTGACACAATAAACAGATAAAATCAACCATTCAACAATTTACTTTTTTTTCTTTTTTTTATATTATTTTTTATCTTCTTTTTTTCGTTCTCTTTTCATAATCAACTAAACATTATTATTTTAAAATTATCATTTATATATTTATAAGTCGAGGATATCAAAATATATATATAAAAGAAAAAGTTTTCTGATGGAGTGTCTTCTATTATTTTTATTATTATTATCTTCACTTTATCCAATATTTTTTTTTCAACTCTCGATTCCTAGGAGTAACTTAGGAAAATCACGTGTACACAGCATTTGAGTCATGACACAAGTTTATTTATCCTACATCTTAATCACTAACCTTGTTAAGGATGTAAGCATAACTAAACCGTCACGGAACTTCGGAATATTTATATGATTGACATTGAAAAGGGCAACTGTACAAAGAACCTGGCCATATAATTATATAATTTCTGATGGCTTGAAAGGGGTAAACATAGGGTTTCCATAAAATGCACTCGTCATTAAATTACATGCATACATGCCAACGAACATATGTTCCGTCAGCTGGTCCTCATCTGCTGCTTGCAAACTAATGGATTCGAAAATGATCAATAACTCAGCATTCTACATAAACAACCTTTGTGAAAAGTACGACTACATTAAAAATTCACGTCCTCTATAATCAAAACTTCCTCTGACAAAGAATTTTAGTACATTAACAACAGGTCCTATTCGTATTCTGGTACAGTCTCGCGAAATCCGATGTTTTCTACATCACATATGCAACGAAGTTACCGATACCCTCCTCTTCCTCTTCCACGACCACCCCAGCCCCGGCCTCTGCCCCTCATACCCCCTCTCCCTCCACCAGATAATCCTTCCAGTGCTCTATTGACAAGTTGATTTTGTAAACCACCACCACCTCTACCTTTCTTTGATGCAATATTATTGGACCCGTTGGCAGCATTAGCAGGCCGTTTTGCTCTGCAGAAGTTTAAACCAAATAGTTAAGGTGATCAATTTCAATTATTTCTGTTGTCCCAACTCCCAATCCAAATGATATCTTCCAGAAAAAATTTACTGAATGAACATGCAATTAGGCAAAAGATCAACTTTCGAGAGAACAACGAAACAAATTATACAATCAAAAGGGAAAAAGCACAAAGTAGTGTCTTTGGATTGGATAAATTTTGTAAAAATGCTTTATGATACAACTTTCATATTACTTTTTTCCGAAACTACTTTTTTCTAGCATCTGGAACATGTACTAAAGCAGTCTTTTAGGTTTCCACTATCTCTCCACAGTAAGTTTAACCTAATTATTTAATTTTTTTTCTTTTAAATGAAGTACTTCAATTTTATTAAAAACACCATAAATAAACAAGCTCTAAAATGATCATTAAGAGCATAGGAAAAGAAAACATACCCAGAAGCTGGCGCATTGGATGATGCAGTTTTTGTTGCTTCTTTCCAAGAGAGATTGATTCTCTTATCTCCAATAAAGGAAGGCACTTTGGCACGCAATGGCTGCCACACAAACCAAAGACGATTAATCACTAATAATTTAATAACTTATTTGCTTAAGTAAAAAGGACCGCATCCCTATTACCTTTGTCATTGTCAAGATGTTATTACAGGTCCGCAACCCGGTTGTGGCATTCTGCTTCTTAGTTTTCTACAAAATCATGTAAACATGTAAGCATGATATATCATTATAAGTGAAAGGCAAGACAACGAACCACCAAACAAGGGGTAGAACTCACAATCTTTTCCTTTTCTTCATCAGTTTTAGCACCTGCCATAGATTTGTTGTTTTCATCCATTCCTTGAGTTAATTTCTTGATTGTAGCTCGGGTGAACTCCTCAACATTATTCAATCTAATAAAAGAAAATAAACCATGTGACCAGAAAAGAAAACATAAAAACATAAATCCTACAGGCAGGTAAAACAACAAAAAGTTTACTAGACAATGGAATAGTTGCAACCAGTCAAATCAAGTACTTTAGCCCCTCCCAAACAGATTCGGTTCCCCTCTTGTTCACTATTAAGAGGAGAAGTCATGTTTAATAAAATTTAAGCATTTATTGTGTTTATTACTTAATATACACAGTCGAAATAAAAAACAGCCAACTTACTATCCCACTAAAATAGGCACTCATGTCTCCCATTATTCTTATAGTTTTAATTGGTTTTCATTTTAACGGTTAGATTTACTAATAAACGTGATAAATGGTTAAGATTTATTAAATTGGACTCTTCTGTTAATTTTAAACAGGGGAGCAAATCCAAATCCTTCCTAAGATGAAGGAGAAGCAGGATCCATAGATTACAGTGACACAGAGACGGTCAGAACAGGAGGGAGTATTTCTGGATCAAACCAGATTTTGCTACAAACTTACACATCAGAAGTTTGTTTACAGTTTATACTTATGCTCTGCATATAGTCTCTTAATCATAAAATCAATCAGACCTTGTTGCTCATTCCATGCCTGGTACAATTTTCATGTTTTGAGATGTAGAAAATATGTTATTGCTTTGGACTCAATTGACACCCACACTAAAAGTGAACTTGACAAGAGAATTTGCACGAGTGAGAGACAGATGAACCCATATTCGGAGAATGGTGGAAATATCAGAGAAGAAAGTAGCAATTCAAACTGTGCGGTCTAATAACCCCAAAACATGATAAACCAGGCGATGCTATTGCTCATTGAGCACAAACAAACAATTATTGCACACTACCCAAGAATACAAAAAAAAATATTATGCTAATGCATTAAAAGATAATGTCCTACCACATTATCTCAACAACAAGCATGTTTGAACCTAACATTCAATTTGAAAACACTACATTAAAAACACCATAGTTTACAAAATAAATTACTTTATAATTCATAATCTGATGAAGACTCTAAGATATCAAAAAAAATATATAAGGATGTGCATCCAAACGAAACCCCTAACAGCTTTTACTCTTTAGGCACTAACAAAACAACATAGTGCATGTTTGAAACAGAAAGCTACCAAATGGGGGAAAAAATCAGTTCTCAAAAGTAAGTTGAAATACGCACATAATCTGTTAACTTTTCTTATCTCCAAAACAATACTATTCCCCTAAACTTGGAAGTTATTGGATTTGATTCTAGCTGGGGGCTTTCGTTGGTTGGTCACTTGTAGGTCCTACTGTAAGCATTCAAGACTAGCTGAATGTGTTGCCTTTGGAATTGGGAACCCCCTCCTAAACTTTTTGTAATACTTGCATATATGACTAGACCAAATTATATTAAAAATACAAAACAAAGAATAGGTGAATAGTTGACTACATAGTTCTATAAAAAGAAAGGTGATACCTTTCAGTAAAATCATTATAATGCTCAGAAAAGTCCTCTCCAAGCCTATCAGATGGCTGTCCAGTAACAATTTTGTATCCGCATAAACTATTTGTTGCATTAGGAACCTACATCACCAACTTCGATTAAGCACCACATACAATTAATCACAACATTAGATAAGACAAGGTAAGGTAACCACCTTATGAGCTAGGTGATGAAATGTGTACAACAAGCACTCAACATAGGTAAAGTTCATCTCTTCTCCAGTTTTCTTCCAAGTCATATATTTCTGAAAACAGCAAAGTAAACAGCTTAATGAAAACAGCCAATAGATAATATTAATCATTTTTATTTAAAGGAATATTAAATGAATTGATATATTAATCCTTGACAGACTGTTTAAATTGCTCTAATTACCAAAAAAGATCATTCACAACAGTAGCTACATCACTCTTCGAATTTGACTCAATAATTGTGCAAAATTTGGGTTTGCATCAATCAACTATGGAGATTAATTAGATCAGATGCTGATATAATATTGAAGGACTGAGATCATGGAAATCAAGTCTTATTAGCGGTCAAGCATTAATTTACTCATTATACAGCTGCAGACAATGAGCATGAACATGACTGAAATTATATGAATAACATTATGAATTTACAAATACAAAAGCCAGATGAAGTCTTAACAACGGTCATTTCAAGAAAAAAATTGGATTTAAGACCTAAAAGACTAGCCACGTCAAAATCACACTTTTGTTAGTCAAAAACACAATTGGAAAATAACGGCATAAACTAATGTTAAAAAAATGACATTGACATGACAGAAAACATACTTCTATATCCAACAAATTGCACGTGCTAATTATGCCAATTTTCAACAAAAGGTTTACCTTCAACAACTGAACAATAGAAGGAAGCATTTGGCGTGAATCTTGTGGTGTTGTATAAGGTGAAAATTCTGCAAGGCTTCTGAGTAAATCTACCTTCCGTTCTCCAGGAAGCTGACAAGGAATATAATTCATACAATTAAGTTTCTCAACAACCAAAAAAAAAAAACTTCAATTGAAGATAATTATTAACATAACCCCAATAAAATTCCATTAATCAAAAACATTCACTAGTTACTACAAGATCTAGAAAGATAACCAGTAAAAACTATGTTTTTGAACTGTACCTGCTAAATATAAAGAAATTAAGAGTCATCTAAATTAATACCTTGCAATTCAAGAACCACAGACCATAAGGTTGCTACGCATAGTGATACGTGTAACATCAAGTTATCATGACATCTATTACAAATAAAATGTTAATTGGAGAATTAGATCTGGAGGCTGTGTTAAGCTAAACTGAAGAAATTTACCCCATTCATAATACATAGTGGCCCATTTCAAACTAAAGGTTGGCAGGTAAGCATATCTACGTAGTATATCAATCCATTAGGCTACAAGTAAATTCAATATTATAAAGCTACTAAAACTTAAGTATGCATGGTACTCTGAGGTTAACTTTTCATATTGTATAACGTTGGAACTGGATAAAGTTTAAAGTCAGTTAAACTTCATTTTAAGTGCCACCCAACCAACACTTCCTTCTGATGTTCACATTGTTGCTTCCATCACAATCTTGATATATTTTATTTTTATAATTCATTCATAGACATAGAGGGTAAGCCTTAGCTAACAGTAAATCTATTTCACATAATGGTTATATTCATTGAAAGAGCCTCTCTGCTTATAGAAAAGGCTCTACATGCATCTAAGCATAGTAGTCAAGTGAATTGCCTCCAAAAATATTATAGCAGGATGGCTACAGAGAGAGTTATATTATACCTATGATGCACAGATAGGTTGGAAAGGGCCCGCGTATCCGATACTGATTCACTCTGATACTTAAAAAATTCGTATTGAAAAAGAATCGAAAAAAAATCCAAACAAAAATAAAAATAGAATAACAAATATTTTTCTATTATTATTATTGTTAAATTAATCAAAACAGATTTGAATTACTTAAATATTTATCAAAACATATTTTAATTATTTAAATATTTATCTCTTTTCCTCAACATGATCTCTTGATGAACCGGACATGGAAGCCGTTTTATTTACTCATGATGCTCAAGGAGGAAATGAAATTTATACTATTTCTATTTCTAAACAATACGTAGTTATTGTTAACTTTTATTTTACATTTAATTTTTTTTAAAGTCATATATACATTTAAAAATATATTTAATGTGTTCAATTTAAATAATATTTAATAATTATATATAAATTTTGTTTATGAATTATATATATATATATACACACACACACACACACACGTATCTTAATCGTATCGTATCTTATATTTTTTAATATAAGACGAATCATCGTATCGTATCCTATACGCATCATAGTATTATACTATTCATATATGTATTTCGTTGAATATTGTTTTATATTTTTCCATATATTTAAATATGATAGTGTCTTATATATCATTATAGTATAATATATTATATATTATTAATAATTAAAATAAATCCCATTGTATCACTGTTTGGGTGAACAGTAGGCCAGCTTAGGGTGTAGGCTGAACACCCCCTCTCAATCCAAGAAACAAGAAAAAGAAAAACTAGCCTCTTTCCCCCATCGGTCACCACCTCCTTTCACCCCAAAGAACACAAAAATGACATCCTCTTTTACCATCAGCCACCACCTCATCATCACACAACTATTTTACTTCATCAGAAGTTGCATAACAGAGATTGGTGAGGAACCAGGTAGATATTGCAGAAGTGCAAAACAGAATCGGGGAGTCACTCCAACCAGTCTACCACAGTCACTATGCATCTAACCCACCCAGGTCCTCACAGTGATAGAAGCTTCATACTGTCACTTGTCCAACAAAACAGAATTTTGATATTTGAAAGGTAAGAAACTATGGTATATACTTTTGGAATTGAATCTGTTATGACAGAGTAGAAAGGCACTATCTTATTGAAAGGCCCAATACATATCTACCCTTTCTCAAGGCTCTTTTTTAGACAAGGACTGTTTTTTAATTCCTCCTTTCAGATGACTACCCTTAATCACACACCCACACACATAGGGAACGGTTACTCCAGGAGTAAGTCTTGTTTAACCTATTCCATTTAATAATTTTTTTTACATGCATTAAACCAGCTGCGGATTTAAGACGTCACATTAAATAGATCAAGTATTTAAAATTTCATCTATACTTAAAATTTTCTGTTAACATATAATACACTTAAAAATAAAACTAAGTCATGGCTATAAGGTTTAATGCTTAGGAATGTTCAATTTACCTAAAAGACATGCCTGAACAACAAAATTATATAACATGTTAACAATTACATTTTTTTTTTTAAAACAGTTAACATTTGTAAATTTTGTGTCTTAAAATAAGTTATAGAACAACTATCAATTAATTCATGGATACAACCAATGCCATAAAGTATCAAGGCAAGAAGCAGAAAGTAAAAGCATACATGTCAGGTTCAAAGCAAAAGGAACAATATTAAAAGAGTTGAAAAAATACATTTTCATTCTTTAAACTAAACTATCTGAATTAATACCTGGTCAAAAACAGGTATTATGTATTTGTTTATATAGTTGAGAAATTTGCTGCTTGATGCACCCCTCTGCAAGAGAAAAAAAAAATTGGTAGAGAAAAAAAAAACAATACGAGAAACATTAAACAGAATAAACAGTCCTTACCACAACAAATGGAAGTGCCATATGAAGGCATGATATCAACCTGTCAATATGATCTGCATCTGAAACCTACAATTTTCCATTTTAAAATTAATTACGAGACCTCAACAAAGAAATATAGACTACTCACATCACTCAACTTCTGCCAACAGTAAAGTACAAAATCAAGAGATTATTTTACTAAAACAAAACAGATTTTAACATATACAATGACTGTATTTGTGTGTTCAACTGGATAAAAAGAAGAGTAATAATCACATTGAACTGCGCATCTAAATCAGCTTGCCCTTCAATGATTCCAATAAGCTCTTTCATCCGTTCTGCTGGAGCCTTTTCTCCAAATAGGCTCAAACTCTTAAGGAAATCCATAAACATTCGAAATTCTATACCAGTGACATCTTCTAAACTCTGCAGTTAAAGTACCACAACTTATATCAACACTTCTTATGCTACGCAAATTAAACACTAATAGATCAACAACTAAAATCATAAAAATAATGAATACCTTTTTTATGAGATCAGTTATGTGTCTTTCCATTTCCTCCTGGGGCTTCAACAATTCAGCTTTGATAGGGAAAACCTATAATGTAGATATTTAGTACTCAGTATTCACTTCCGTTTTAAAGACGAAATAAAATAAAGGGCTCATTAACCAACGATTTATCTGTTTACCTTATCTCTAACAAAGTTTATAACTTTCTCACGGATAACATCATCAGTACTTGGCTCTTCAACACTGCCAATGTGCTTGAACAAGGCCGTCAAAGAAGCTGCATAGACAACTAAACTATAAGGAGACAACCAAAAGGCAGTCAACAATCAGGGAAGCATATTTGCGATAACTGTAAAAAGGTTGAGCATTCCCAGGCAAAAAGTTTGCCCAAGTACAGCATTCAAAGTCATAGCCTAACTCTGCACCATCACTTTGGAATGCAACAGTTTTACAGAATCATTGGACTTCCACATTTAATTTTACAAATACAAATTTTTAAAGTTCTATTACCACCAATGTGCAGGTCTTTATTGGAAGCATTAGAAAAGAAACATTGCCTATAGTTTTAAATCTAAAAAATTATTCAGGCCATGTAACATCAACATGTAAACCAAACTTTTCAAAGAAAAAATATTTCTTAATGGACATCTTATACCCACTGAATATATACTATAAAATAAGACTAGTGTTAGAATGGTATGCATTTCCTTGTTCTGGTTATATGGATAAAATTGCAGGGGAAAGGATTAAAGAAAGATAAAATTGCATGTACCGTCAACATAAAATAAGGTTACAAGATCAAGATGCTTAAGATACTAAGTTCTTGAATGCAAGTTCATTCAGTTTACAATCAAACTAGAAGATTGGTGATATACTTCTGCAACATGATAATTCTTTGAAAGTGGTTTAGACCTAACTCAATTATACAGAATTGACTTGTAAAGTGATATTTTCGCCCACTTATATACTAGAATTTAGTAGTATTTCTAGTTAATGTGAGATCTCCAACACCCCCTTATGTCGATAACAAGACATCTTGAGCATGGAAGTAGATAGTTGTGTTCGGTCAAATAGTGCATTTGCTAGGATAACCTTTGCTACCTTCTTAAAAAGTTATTTAGACTTGACTCAATCTTACAAAACCAACTAATAAAGTAAGAGTTGCATCTACTTATAAACTATAATTTAGTCATATCCGTAATTGAGGTAAAATCTTCAACAAAAATATACAATGCATTTAAGCACTCATCAATCATCATACTAGTGCAACACCCAAAATTATAAGTTATTTTACTTTAGCATTGATGGACTCAGATTCCCAAGCAAAATTCAAAATTATTTAGTGTGTTTGGAACTTAGTCGAGTTCAACAGAATGCCAATCCATTAAGCCTCATTCCTTCTACGCTTGTTGCATTGGGAAGTGGTATTTTCTAGTACAAGGCAGTAAATGGGTTTCCAAACACACCCTTAACCACCAGTGCACCACAATATTCTAACAAAAATATTTTCACTCAAGATAAAGATATATCACTGTACCTTTCACATCCTGCCTCAGCAGTGACATAAGAGCCTTATGTACAGCATCACGCTCCACAAATTCCTCTAAGAGAATCAAAGGGGAAAACAACATATCATATTCATAATCATGGCTGTGTTATCAACACCGCAAAACCTTCAAAGAGCTAACTTACCAGAGCCAAGAATTTGCACAAGAATATCAACCATTTTCCCAATATTCTCAGGTGTATCCTTACAGAAAAGTGGCAGACCTCTAATTGCTTGCACACGAACCTGTGTGGCAACAGAAAAACAACAAATAGTGGAAACAAACCTCAGTGCATACAGAATCCACTAGTAACCACAGACAGAAAACAGAACCACTAAGATACAACAAAGCAGAAAACTTTTTTTCTCCACTTTCCAATGTTTGGTTTAAACTTAATAAATGTCATTATTTTCCTTTAGATATATCCTTCACTAACAATCTTTGCCCTTTATTAATTTAGCCCATTGAACCAACACAACCATGACCCAGAAGCCTTGCCAGTTCAAACCCTGGTTTGGTTTTAAAACCATCATTAAGACTTGGAGAGAAGTATCATAGCAAAAAAGAATTAAAGATAGTGGGAAAAAACTTCCCTTGTTTTTTTTTTTTTCATTTTGAACAGGACACCATTTATTAGCCACCACCACACACACGCACAGAGAATCACAAATTATATGATATGTAATGAACGGAGCAAATTACGTACGCCGAGCTCCTCAGCCTCAACCAAATCAAGATGGGCATCAAGGGCGGGGCCAGAGAGGTCAGGAAAGTATTTGTAGAACTTGGGAATGAGCTGCGCGGCGAGCTGCTTCGCCTTCACACTCGTCTTCGCCGCATCTATGATGCCCTGGTAATCCTGCACATTCTGCGAACACCACAAAACAATCCAAAACCCTAATTGGAAACTCGAACATCGCAATCCAAAACCCTAAACCAAAAGGAGCAAGAATAGAAAAGCGAATTCCGAACCTGAGACTTGTCCTTGGCATTGTTGAGCTGCTCTCCGTATTCATAGAGCTTCTCGATGTAAGCAGCCTCTTCGGCAGGGTCAGTCATTGGAAGGCCCTGCAATTGCGATAGCGATTTGGCAATTGCGCAACGACGATTGGGATTTAGAAACGAAATTAAGAATAGCAAGAAACAAAAAGGGAAAAACAAAAGAGGGTTTTGTGCAGTGTTATGTTAAGGGAGGGAATACAAAGAAAGAGAGTAACTAACCTGAAGGGGTGAAGTGAATAGAGCGTTGAGTAGGGAATGATTCAGTGGGTAAAGTCAAGTTGCTCTTATATGGGGACGAGTTACCCTTAACCGCACTGCACACACAAACACACCACAACACAACAAACACAACACAGTTTCTTTCCGCTATAAAACTGTAGTGTCTCCTCTCTTATCTCCGCCAACCAAAAACTCTACCTATCTCTCTATATACTGCACAAGACTAAACGCTCGTTCTGCAACTGTCCTTTAAACGGTGAGAATTGATTAAAAATGTCTAAGTTGGAATTTCATTTATTTTTTACCTGCTAGATATAGTTGCAACTTATTTTATTTTATATTTTTTAAGTGAATATCATCACGATTTTATTTTAATTTATTATGTTTATATTTCTTTATTTCTTATGTGGTAAAAATTTCTCTAACTAGATGCTATGGTTTTTAATTTTTAACAACTAATACAGTTCAAAGCACTTTTTTATATTATTCTTTATCTAGTCAAAACTCAGAAATTAATATTTTGTCATAATAAATTTTATTAAAAATACTTACATTTCTAAATATATATTATTTTGCATACATATAAAAAATAGCTCTTAACATCTTTTCAAAAACATCATTGTTAAAATATAGATCTTATTAAAATTAGCAATAATCATATCATATATTTATATTTTTTTTAATAGATGATGGTAACTTTATATATATATATAATATTTAAGTATTTATTAACTATAAAATATTTTTAGTAAATATAAATAATATTTTTTTCTATTTTTTCCACAGAAATATAGAAATATTTTTATTAAATATAAGTATATATTAAATAAATATATAAATATACATATTTATATATTTAAAACATTTTTTATATTTTTATATCTAATAAATATATGTATTTTTTAATATATAATAAAACATATTTATATAATTATATGTTTAATATATTTATATATATTTAATAAATATATATATATATATATATATGATAACTTTATTATTATTATTATTATATATATATAATATTTAAGTATTTATCAAATATAAAATATTTTTAGTAAATAAATATAATATTTATATTGAAATTTATTTTATTTAATTTTATATAATATAAAATAGAATTGATATAAATATTTTGTCAAAATTCTATATAAACAGAAATTTGAATAGATAATTTTACATAGATATACCATTTGAATTAAAGTGAATAGATATTTTAGGTATTAAATTAATGAGACATGGTAAGGAAATTAGAAAACTATAACAAAGTAGAAAAGTTATTTATTTATTTATTGTAATGACATATTATAAAACTACAACATAATTAATTATGAGTTGATTTCAAAAGGCCAAGGCTAGGTAGACAATGGTTTCTTATGTCTTGAAGTATGACAATAAGAGCATTTCCTTGCCTAGCATTTTTTCTGAATATCTATTTCAGTCTTAATTCATGATGACTTTGGACAATCATTGGAACTTCTCCTCGCTGATTGGGGCAAAGTCATAGGTCTTGGTGAGATGACCAATAATTTTCGTGTTTAAGCTCCTAAACCAAATTATCATACAACCACATGAGAACATGGAAGATGAAGTTTTTGGAACTTCCTACAATCGCGCTGACCTTCATCTAGTCTAACGACAAAAGTTTAGGTCGAACTTCTCTTAGGTTGATGATCTCCTCCACCAAGAATCTTGTGTTGCTTTTATCGAATTCAAGCACATTATGAGTGTTTGATTTTGTATAAGCATTTTGCAAAACCTTTTATGCAACTTCTGAATGGACATGACAACCATTAATTATTGCAGTGATTTGTCTCCCTCTAAGTTGGTTGGAAGGTGACCTTATCTTCTACTTTCATCATATGCAAGTACCCATTTGTTCCTAAGAATTTTGTCAATTCAGGTTACTACTTCTAGATTGGTTTGCCTTATTATGTTATAATAGTAGTTTGTTTTTGACTCGGTCATTGCATATGTTGCATATTGAAGTAAAAAAAAAAAAAAGTTAATATAAAGTAGATAACATGGCATAATAAAAAATTTAAGATAGAATATAAGTTGTTGCCCATATTGACAAGGTTTTTTTTTCATAGTCGCATTCTTAAATCTTCTCATAAAATTTTGTGCAATGTGTTGAATATAGTACACATCACATAGTTACTCTCATTTCATCAACTTTCAGGTCTTGCGTATGCTTCATAAATATAATTGTGACGATCCAAAATTAAGCACAATAGTGACAATAAGGGTAGAAGGGTCTACGTCCACAATTTCATGAATATGTTGTGAAATTTTACATAATCCCAATGTTAGATTATTTTAATCTAATATTGACTCATGTCATTTATAGAGTAACTTTAATGTAAAGGTTTCTAATGTCATGATTATTAGTTTATAAATGTATTAAAGTTATGGAAATTATTTTAGAGTTATTAAAGTCAATTCCCTCTCTTCTCACTTCGTTAAGGGTATTATGACATTTTAATAAATCTTTTAAAATACAACATAAAAGTTGTATTACAGTTTCTTATGTGAAAGATTAAAAGTTATATTCCTCAACAATAAAGAGACAAGTGACTTTGACAAAAGAAAAGGACGTATTGGGCACATTCTATATCATCAAAAAAATCATAAAAGGAAGTAAGAGAATGGAAAATATTCATCAAGAGATTTTTTGCAATGAATCCAGATAAGTTCTTAAACACTTTTAATAATATATTTGTGAGAATCATAGATCCTAAAGATCGTATGAAGTATAATAGTTTCTTAAATTGAATTAAAATATTTGAAACTACAAATTTACATTAGTATCAAAGTCATATTAGGAATTTATGATTATCCGTGAATTATGTTTTCCCCAAATTATAGAAACCCTAATTTGAAATTATGAGATTTAGGGATTTTATTCGTGAAATATGGTAAGTTGCAATTCCAATTGGAATTGAATTGATAGATGATGTGCAATAAAATCTTTGAATTGAAAAAAAAAAAACATGTTCACTACTACATTATATATATTTTTGGTAGTGAAATATTGTTTTAATTTAAGAATTAATTGTATGGGGTAAATTTATAATCATCAATGTGATCAAATTTTATGTTTTAATTAATTTCAAAGTATAAGTTGAATTATGTCAATTACCCTTGAAACAAAGGATGTTGAATTATGAATATGTTTATCGGTTTATAGGTTATATGAAATTTATTGTTATAAGGCATTTCTGCATTACCCAAAGATGAACCATTTTAAATGTTTTATTTCCATTCGTGTTAAGTGTATGTATCCAAATATGTCATACATGTCCAAAATGATATATTTTATTGTCCATTAAAGTGTATGTTTGGAAATTAAGTGTATCTATTTTACCAAAGTAAAGTAGATAAATGATTAAATTTTATATATTTTGAATCCATTAAGTTTTCATAATATTGATGGGTGAGTTTGTTTAAATGTGTGCAGTTATGTCTAACATGATTCCATTGAGCAATTGTTTGATTAAGTTCAATGGTTTAAATTAAGTTGATTGGTTTGAAACTGTCTAGTTTCAACTGGTGTTGTGGATTTAGACATTGAATTGATAATGAATGAAAAACCCTCACCCATTAATGATGCTTGGGAGCGATCTAATAGATTGACGTTGAACTTAATGAGACTGACTATGGCTGAAAATGTTAAGCCATCTATGTCCAAAATTGACAATGCTAAGGAATTCATGAATTTGGTTAAGGATTTCTCACAATTTGATATTAGTGACAAGTCAATTACGGAAAATCTGACAAGTAAGCTTACAAACAGAAGGTTTGATTGATCTCAATCAATTCATGACCATGTGACCAAAATGTCCAATTTGGTAAAAAGGTTGAAGTTTATGGGAATGGAAGTGAGTGAGTCCTTCTTAGGGTAATTCATTTTGAACTCCCTTCTTGTTGAATTTGGTCAATTCCAGGTGAATTATAATATTTTTAAAGAAAAATGGAATTTTTAGAAAGCTAAGGTCATGTTAGTTCAGGAGGAAAGGAGATTAAAGAAAATGAATAACGACTATTTTCATCTCATGACTCATGATGGAGTCTGTGGTAGTAAGAGCACGTTAGGTAGAAAGGATAAGGGCAAGACCCAATTGAATCAATGAAGGTAAAATCCATAAGGATAAAAAATGTTACTTTTGTAATTAGAAATGTCACTTCAACAAAGATTGCCCTAAAAGGAAGAAATGATTTCAAAAGAAAGGTATATTTTATATATATGTAAATTTTGAATCAAATCTAGTTGAAGTACCTAATTTTGAATCAAATCTAAATTTGACTTGATTTAGTGTCCTCTTTTGTAGATTGGTACAAAAATTATTATAATTTTGAGTTACTTTCAACCAAAATCGATCTTTTGATGACTAATAATTGGATCCATTAATACATTGTTAATGAGATGTATATCATCTTCGTTTAAGAAGTAAATCATTTTCTTCTTTTATGTAAAATTTTCCCCTTCTTATGTTGGTGAAATGTTATGAAATTTGTATTATAATATCATTATTGTAAGGAGTGTGGGGGTGTTAGAATTAATGAAAGACCTTTCACTTAGCTCCTCCCACCCCTCTTCCCCTTATTATGCTTCAAACCACCTTTCCCTATCCTTTCCTTCCCTCCCATTTCTCTTCTCTCCCCATGCCTCTCTCTTCTTTGCTTTCCAAGCCTCTCTTTTTTCATTTTCCCCCCTTAAAACTTCATGGTAATAACTACTACATCTCAATGTTCTACCTTGTAACAACCACTCGCCACCATGAAAAATCTTGACCACTCTTAATCATTACCATCTAGTACATATATGGTTCCTTAAT